GAGTGTGCAGGAGGCAGCTGATCGATGTTTCTAACTCTCTATCCCTCTCCCTTCCTCTCTGTAAAAAAATCAATAAAATATATTTTTTAAAGATAAATTAAAAAAAAAAAGAATCAATGGAAAAAATGTTCTCAGGTGAGGATTTAAAAAAATCAATAAAATATATTTTTTAAAGATAAATTTTTTTAAAAAAAGAATCAATGGAAAAAATGTCCTCAGGTGAGGATTAAAAAAAAACAACCAAAAAATTAGTAATAGGACAGGCAGGTGTGGATTAAAAGGCAGGTAAGAGTTTAGGGCCTGTGTTTCTAGAGGAGAAATTGTAAGCAAAACCTTGGGAATGAATGAGGAAAAGGGCGAGAGGGGTGGGGGGAGGCGTACATGACCGAGAGCAGGATCAGCTCCTGCACCGAGGGCCTGGGATGTGCTTGCCTTTGGTCCTCGGCCCAGGCCAGTTCCCTGGAGCAGGTAACTCTTTGGATGGGTGAGGTTTCCAGTCTGAATCGTGCAGCTAATTCCCAGCCCACTGGCCATGGGAAACTAGGTCTGCATGTGCAGGACCCCACATCTCCCTTGGTGGCGGCCAGACCCGACGAACAGTTGTTAGCACTGCACTTAGCCCACGTTCACGGTCAGCACCGCAGGCTGCAGCGCCAAGGGGTCCTACTTCTGCTGACTGTAAGAGCCGCGCTATGAGAGGACGCGGTGCGGGCAGGAAGGCTTCCTTTGAGCGGAGATAGTGTGGGGCGTGGGCAATGGTGGAATTAGCAGGGCGAGTGGGTTTTGGAAAGGCTCTGCTTCTTCATCTAAGCAGGAAGACTCATCTGAGCCAAGTAGTGAGAGCCTTAGATCCCTGGAAGGAGTTGGCATAGAAGTTACCCATGAAAGTGAGGTGCGCTCTGGGCAATACATCCACATCACGCTAAGGATTCTGGGGGTGCAATCTTGGCCCCTCCTCCCTCTCTCCCTGAACTGTTTTTTCAATCCTAAAAACCTGGCTGCTCAGAACGTGTTCTTCCCTCTCCACCAGGAGGTCTCGCCCCTCCCTTCCAAGAGGCAAGTCAGACAAGGATGAAAGGTCCTCATTACTTCACAAACCAATAAGGACTCACATTTTTTCCAGCGAGTACTTACTCTGTGCCCGGCACGATTCTGAGCGCTCTGCATACATTAACTCATTTATTTAAAAAATATTTTTATTGATTTCAGAGAGGAAGGGAGAGGGAGAGAGATAGAAACATCAATGATGAGAATGAATCATTGATCGGCTGCCTCTTGCACGCCCCCTACTGGGGATCGAGCCCGCACCGGGCATGTGTCCTTGACCGGAATTGAACCCAGGACCCTTTAGTTTGCAGGCCAACGCTGCATCCACTGAGCCAAACCAGCTAGGGCTACATTAACTCATTTAATGCTCACAACCACCTGAGGCAATTCCGAGAAAAACAAGCAGGAACCTAAATGCAATCAGTGATGTAAGGGAGCCCTGGGAGCAGATCCGAGCGACACTGGGAGTGAACAGCCAGGCAGGATCTTCAGGGTCGGGAAAGGGGCGCCAGGAAGTGAAGCGTGAGGCCAAAAGCAAATGGGGCTAAAACATCTGCAGAACAACCCATGTTCTGGGGTTAAAGGCTTTTAAAAGACCATTTACATCAGCCTAGGAGTCAGTGGGCCTTCCTCTCACCAGATAAGCATTGAAAGGGGCTGAATTCCTGAGAACAGTCCCCTAATCATACCTTCTTCCAAGACACCAAAACCTACTGAGAAATCTTTTACCCAAAGCCACTTCCCTCGTGCACAGACGGCACGCCGCAGCCTGCACACCTCCTCCCGCGGCCTCAGCGGGCAGAGGCTGGCGAAGCGCTCCTCTGCAAGGGCAGGAGTGAGAGCTCTTGAGGCCCGAACCCAGCCTGCAGGTCACCTGACCCACAGGGCTTCTCCCTGAAGCCCGGTGCCCAGTAAGCAATGGAGTCTGTGTAACAGCGGGTGATTGGACGAGGGATGTTAGAGTGGGCAAGGGCCGCATGCCTCGGTGAGCTGGTGGCTGCTGCGAGAGGGAGGCCAGAGGCCAATGGAGCCAGCAGCTGAACAGGGTGGGCAGGAGGAAGCAGCCATTCGCTCGGAGGGGAAGGGACCAAGAGATGCAGACAGCTCCCTAGGCCAAGCGCCCTCCCAGCAGCTGAGGGCGGGACAGGGCCCACGCAGCCCCTTTATGCACGTCCATCCCAAGGACAGTTCTACCTCGACGTTCCACACCAGTATTTTCCCTTCCCAATTCCTAGACTTGTTTCAGCCCCCAATGCCCCCAAAAGAAGGTGAGCAGGCAAAGATTGGGGGGAAGCGATGGGCTGACATTAATTGATAGGAGCAGCTTCAAGCAGTTCATGCTGCCTTATCTCTCTCTCCTTTGGATAGCGTGTGTCCGCTGGAGTCCGCGGGGTCGGTGATTAATAGGGGCCATCACTCACTGTCCGGGACGGCTGAAAGGCAGCAGGGAGGGGCGGCCCTCCCCAGAACTGAGATAACAAGCAGCAGGAATAATGAGTGGTGTCACTCCACTTTTCATTTTGATGGAAAGTCATTACGGGAGTCAACGCCAGCGACAAAGAGCCATGAATCAACTGCTCTGCTATGAAATTAAAATCGAATTGCCGGCCATTCCCAGCCCCTACCCTTCCTGGGAAACAGAGATGGGTAGGTGGCTTGGGAGACGGGTGCTGTCTTGGGGTGGGCTCTACCCAATCAGAGAGCAGGCAGTTACGGGTAGGAAGTGAACAGGCAGCTAGTGAAGGTGACAACTCCTGTCTCCACCTTGTTCATCAGACCTTCCTCCCCAAACCGCATTTCCCCTCTGCATTTCCCCTCTGCCGGGGGGCAAGCTGTGACTAAAAGGGAAAGACAGCTTTGCTGGCTCCAGCCAGGCTGCCACCTGACTGCTTCTCCTGGGCTCTGGCCTGAGTGGGGCAGGCTGGGCCTGGCTCAGAAAAAGGGGCCCCTGACTCAGTTACCCAGAGCCCCTTGCTGAGCCATCTGCAGATGCTAATCTGGGCCCTCCCTGTCACCCAGAGGACAGATCCCTCACCTGGGCCTGCACAGGGACAGCTGGTGGCCCGGGGAGCCCACGGGGATCACGAACCCCATGCAAACAGGTGTGCAGTCTCAGCTCCAGGCCCAGAGAAGCAGAAACGGTCAGGATAAAGCCAGTCTCTTCCTCTTTTATTAAGTCCGACCGGATTAACAAGGAGACGCTGGGGTTTCAGGCTGACAGGCTACCGGGCCCATAAGACAGCTTCTTGCAGAGATACAGTGAGTGCAAAGGTCACCATCTGGGTGACGCTCCCGCACGTGGCCTCCATCCTCCAGAGCCTGGTCTCTCGCTGGGAAGGCCCCGCAACACCAGCCCTGGCGTCCCACCTCCATCCTGAGGCTGAGGAGACGAGCAGGGCGTGGGCGGGTCACAGAGAGGTTCCCATCAGGTTCACAGGGCGCCCATTGTACCTCTTGGAAATGTCAGCTTCAATCTGAAAGACAGCGAGGCCGAGTGGGCCTCAATCTGCGGAAACGGGGGGTCCTGCCCGGGTAGGTTTCCCTTTCCTGTCTTACCAGCTTCTGCAGCTCCTTGGTCTTCTCCAGCAGCAGGTCCAGCTTGGGCTCCAGAGCGGCCTGCTCCTGCAGTGCCTCCTGCTGCTTCTGCACCATCAGTTCTTTCTTCAAAGCCAGCAGCTGGGACTGCTTCAGCTTTTGCTGGAGGAACTCGGTCACTCTGTCCACATACCTGCAGGGCGTTCAGGGCAGTGGTGTAGCAGAGCAACCGGAGCATCCCGTTCAACTAAAAGATGCAGCTCAGGAAACCACATCCCGAATTGGCCTCATCCTTCCACCTCTCTGTAAAGACTACCTCCTGGTTGCCCTGTCCTCCGGGTGCTGGCTGCATACAGCACATCACCCCACCTTGCCCCACAGAGAATCTAGGTGCCCAGTTGGGATGGCCCAGCTATGGGAGGCAGGCACGAGGTCTAAGGGGTCATGGAGAAGAATACAAGGGGTCAGGACTCTTCAAGATGGAGGAGTCCTGCTCCGATCCCGGAACCGCCCCATGTCAAGGGGAAAGCCAGACCTTGGTGAGGCCAGGATCATGAACAGGTGCTGCATTCGGAGATTGGTGAGCCGGCCAATCAGGTCCTGCAGCGCTGACACCAGGGTTTCCATCTTCGCTTTGGTCTGGCCCTGCAGGATGGCTGGAGCCAGCTGGAACTGGCTCACAGACAGGATGTCGGCCTCCTCGCTCATCTCCACGGCTCTCTGGGACAGGAAGATCTCGAGCTGAGGACGAAGAGGATTTGGTTCAAACCAAGAAGAGAACACTGAGGCTAAGCCCCAGCCTGCCCCAAATGAAGGGTGAGATGTGAGGGTGAGGCTCTGGGTGCAGAGGGGTTCCTTCCTCTGAATACTTCTGTTGCTAGAAACGCACCAACTATAACCTGAGAGCTTGGGGCAGCCTCTGCCTCACTCTGCCGTCACCCATGTCGATCTCAGGCCCTGTCTAGCCTGGACCCCCGCTTCCTCCTCGCTGGGGATCAGATAACTAAGAACGCAGAGGTTCAAAGGGTTCTCTCGGTCCCGGTGAAGGCATTTTCTCTCCGTGGGAGGAATGAGACTCAGGGAGAGGGATCCCTGGGATAAGGAAGGGCTAGGAAGACTCTGAGAGGCAGCCACATATCTTGTCCCTCTTATTCAACCATGGAAGCTTGATCACTTCTGTCCTCCTCTGCCCTGGAGGCTAGGAGGGTCCTCTCTGGACAGAAAGAGGATGAACCTGGTGAGGACAATAATCTTCATGAAGCCTCCCCAGCCAGCAGAGCACTGGGAGGGAACAGACCCAGAGATTAACAAGAGCAGCCCCCAGCGCCCCAGTCCCACAAGAAGGACCGAGAACACCGGCTCCTTACTCTGGGCTGCTCGTACCTTAGCCACAGGGATAGTATTGACACAAGTGAGATCATGTGGCTCCAAACCTCCTACAGCATCTCAGTCACTCGTGGTAAAAGCCAAAGTCCAGAAGCCTCACCTCTCTGATTGCTTTCACTTGCCCGCTCCCGGCTCTGCCACGCCGGCCTCCCTGCATCAGATACGCAGGGCACACGCCCATCTCAGGGCCTTTGCAATCGCGCCCTCTGCCTGGAGAGCTTTTCGGCCAGGCTTCAGCGTGGCTCTCCCTGCCCCTGCAGGTCCTGGCTTACTGGTCACCTTCACCACGAGGCCTTCCCTGATCAGCCGATATGAAGCCCAGCAGCCCTCCAGCACTCTTTTCCTCCGTGGCGCTGACGTTAACACCTAACATACCGCATCTCTTACTTTATTCATCTTGTTTCCTGTCTGCATTCCCCACCGGAACATAAGCCCCAGGTCCAGGACTTGGACTGTTTTACTCCCTGCTCACTCTCTGGCGCCTCAGGCAGTGCCAGGGGCTGGGAAAGTGCAGGGTGAACCCTTGCTGAGTGGATGGGGCCTCCTAGTATGAGATGTCTCTGGTGTCCCTCACAGGAACAGGAAGGGCCGGGTCAGGGGTCTGGAGCAAGGCCTCCAATGCGGTGCCCCCCACCCCCCTCGCAGAGGATGAAGGTACCTCCATGAGCTCGTCGATGAACTGGTTCCGGGTCTCAGGGTATTCAAGGAGTGTCAGGGCATCCGAGCCCCTAGCAACACCTTCCGGAGCTGCCAGGAGGAGACAGAAGTGATGAGGGAGCTGAGGACGGGAGGAGACCTCCCCCAAGTGAGACGCTCTGGTGGGTTAATATGGACACGGACTCACTGAACTAAAGCCACTTCCTGTTCCAACCCCAGGGGGAAAGGTTACCCATTCCCACGTCTCAGCCCTAGACAGGCACTGCTGCCAACCGCAGCCTGTGAGGACCACAGCTGGGTCTGAGGAGTGAGGCCAGCCCTCTGGGCATAGGGGGTGAAGTCTCGGCCTGCACTGCCCTCTAGTGGCTCACATCGCTGCTACAGCCTCTCAGCGGGTGGGGAGGGTCAGTTCAGACTCGGAGCCAATCAGCACTCCTGGGACCCCTCGCCCACATTCCTCTCCAAAACCGTGGGGGCTGCTGGCAGGCGCCGGCGCACTCACCCTCAGTTCCAGCCTCCACCACTGTAATCTGCAAAGCGGCAGCATCGTCTCCCCAGTCTATCCCATCACCCCCAGCTTCCTGGGTGGAAAGCAAAGAGCCCCAGGAATGTGGGCAGAATTCTCCCACCAAAGCGAGCCAGGATCAACCCAAGCCCTCCCTACGTTCAACAACCGCACATTTCAACTGTGGGAAGGACACGCTGGCCTGTGGTCGGTGGCAAAGATGCCAGTGTGAGGCCATGCACGTTGCCACCCTCACCCCTGCTCTGTAGAGTTACCACCTGCTGACAACCCCACACCTTGCCCCAAACACCAGGAGAGGCCCAGACTCTGACATGTCACTTTGGAAGCTGTCTCCCCGGGACCACACCTGGTCTGAGAGCCATGAGCTTCCAATGATGCCTTTAAAGGCACAGACAAGACTTTTCTTCTCGCTGAAGCAGTAATCATAGAAAGTCCTCAGAGACGGACCGAGAGGGCATCCTCACCTTTGAATCCGATTCCAGGGAGATGCCCCAGTCAATGCCTGCAGGCTGGGCAGGGTCAGTCCCTTCGGAGGCCACCTCCACCCCAAAGTCGCCCCAGTCAATCTAGAAGGAGAAAGGAAGCGTTAGCTCGCAGAGGGTGGGGATGATAAGGGGCCTGCCTTCCCACGGGCCTCAGCCGTCTCAGTGGGATGTGCCCATCCACTGTTTAAACGCAGTGGCCTCCAAGCTCCCCAAAGCAGAGCCCATCTCGGAGAGCTGACAGGACGGAAGGGTTCCTAGCTCAAAGCCAAGCAGATTGCTGAGGCTCCCACCCCTCTTCTATACTCTGACCTCGAGAAGGCCAGAAAGCCCGGCCTGCATGGCTCAGAGGTTGGGCATCGACCTATGAACCAGGAGGTCACGGTTCGATTCCCGATCAGGGCACATGCCCGGGTTGTGGGCTCAATCCCTGGTGGGGGGTGTGCAGGAGGCAGCTAAACAATGATGCTCTCATCATTGATATTTCTATCTCCCTTTCCCTTCTTCTCTGAAATAAAAAAAAAAAAAAAATTTTTAAAAGGTGGCCTGATGCTCTCATCATTGATATTTCTATCTCCCTTTCCCTTCTTCTCTGAAATAAAAAAAAAAAATTTTTTTAAAGGTGGCTGGAAAAATAGGGGAGTAGGGCCCCTGGGCCCTTCCACCCATAGTCTCTCACACAAATCCCTTTCTTCCTCTGGGACTCTGAATTCAGGCTGTGAGGTTTGGGCTGTGTGTGTTGGGGGGGTCGGGGGAGCAGCTCTCCCTCAGCCTGTCTTACCGCGTCTTCTTCCCCCTGCTCGGGCGGCTCCTCGAGGTGCGGCCGCTCCACCACGGTGGGCTCTGTCCCCGTCCTCCACTCGTACACCGTGGAGTTGCCCCGCTTCTGCACAAATCGCAGCATTGGCAGCACCTGCTCCTCGGGGCTGCAACAGGGCACATAACTGACCCTCCTGCTGCCCACTCACGAAGCCAACAGTGGGCTTTGGCCTGGGCCATAAGGTCAGATGGGCAAAGCCCCCATGGGTTCCAGTGCGTAAAATGAAACTCAAGTGTCATGTGGGGAAAACACAAGTGGAGAAGAGAGAACAGCCAGGGAAGCGGGCACACTGCCCCCTGCTACAGAGCAGCCCCGGGCCTCTTTACCTCTCACACACGAACCCCACGCAGGCCTGGTACAGGTCGATGGCTTCCCCCAGGGACCGAGCCCGCGCCCCGATCTCGGCCAGTTGACTCGGTAGTTCCTTCACCAGGGCCAGCAGTTCTCTCCGGACATTGTCTCCCTAGAGCGGATGGAAGAAGGGGGCTAAGGCAGAGTGCCGGGAAGTGGGGTCCAACAGATTAAAGAAAACGTGCGAAGAGCAGACAGGAGAGAAGCTGGCCCCCAAAGGGCACAGCAGGCTGGGGGGAGCCTTTCCCAGATGCACAGCTGTGAGCCCAGCAGGCAGACCGAGGCCCGGTGCCCTCCGCTCACCGTGATGCCGTACTGCTTGCACGAGTGGTAGAACTGCTCCCGCATCTCGGCAGCCCCGCCCTGGCCCTCCTCCTCCTTGCGGCTATATTCTTGCTGCAGCTGCTGGCACTTGGCGATCTGCTTCTTCAGTGAGGGGATCTCATAGGTGACGTTCCGAACGAGGAGGCTAGAGAGTTCCACTGAGAAGGGCCCAGGAAATTCGCCTCAGACACCCGCACCATCAGGCAAGCATGCCCGGGACACGCACACATGGACCCTCGTTTGGTGGGGAAGGGTGTGAGGTGGCTTCCCAGCTCCTCCCCTTCCTCGCTGTAGCACCTAAGACAGCCATTTAACGTCTCTAACCCAATCCTCATCTGTATCACAAGGTTGACAATATTTGCCGTGAGGACTAAAAGAGGGAATCCACATAAAACACCAAGCCTAATTGCTTGTATTTAGGTATTTAGTAGGTGCTTGGTAAACATTAGCTATTATCATTATTATTATTTATACTATTAGAAAACACACCCAAACTACAATCAGCCCTTCAGTTACTCTCTCAGGAACTTAGCATGGCCCCAAGGATAATCCACGCATCCTCTGCCTACTATAGAATGGGGGTGCGGAGGGAATGGGGTTCCACACTCACCTTACGAGAGTTCAGTGGTAGAGAACTCACACACACCTGCGGGGTCAGGCCTGGCATTTACCTATCACCTGCCTGGTCCTCCTGCTCCTCCCAACACTGTGGAATGTATTTTCCCACCTTGCAAACATCTACAGCCCAACCTCTCCCCCCACACGGTCTGTGTCTCCTAGAAGCTCAGTGTCTCGGGACGATGGGAGTGGGCTTCCCCAGTGGCGCCCTGGACACCAGGAGGCCCCGGCTGGACCGCCTACCTAGGTAGCTGTTGTCTTTCTCATACAGGGCCACGATCTCCTGCCAATCCTGCAGGAGAACGGAAACAGGAAGTGAGCCAGGACTGCACTCAGCAGTCACGTCCCAGCGCAAGCCCGGAGCAGGGCACGCTCTCCCAGTCTTCCTGTCACATCAAACACACATTCCTTGTCCTCCTCTGAGCACTGGCTGGACCACCCACTTGATTTTAAGAGTGTGGCGCCAACGAGCAATCCCCAAAGGAGCTACTTCTGGCATAAGCTCTGGGGTCGGAGAGAAAGTTCAGGAAGCGTTCCATGTAGGCGTCTCCACCGGATCCTCCGAGAGACCGAGAGCTCTGATCCCATTAGCACCCTCGCCCACACTTGCCTTCATTCGCTGAGAAGAGTACCGGCCAAAAATGTTTTTTGTGGAAGCTTCAGTGCCTTTGAGAAGGTCCACGATTCTTAGGCAGTGGAAGTAGTGAATGTCTGGAAAGCAAGGGAGAGCAAAGACGTTGAGAATTCCAGTACCTTCCCCATCTACTCTGGCCAAGAGCTGACTCACATGCCAGTGATTGAAGTAAGCACGGTTCTCCCATCATGCACAGCTCTCTCCTTCACCAGTTTGTGTAGGAAGAAACGGGCATCTACACCCCTGGACAAAACCTTTCTCTGGGGATCAGCTGTGGCTGAGCGACAGGGGAGCAGCTGAGTGGCTCTGTACGGCGCCCGGGAAAGCGAGGGCTCCAGCAGGGTGGCCCCAAGGCACTCACAGGACCCAGAGAGCAGCTGGGCAATCTCCTCGCTTTCTGGCATGTCCTGGATGGCGGCATTGATCTTCTCTCGGATGGTCAGCACCAGACTCTGCCACTTCAGGTTGCAGTGCCTTCTGTCCACCAGCCAGTCTACGTGAGAAACACCCAAGTCACAGCGCTCCCCTTCAGACGGTCACAATTCGGGCAGACACGCTACGACAGGGGCTAAGGGTTGTATTCACAGTGGCTAAGGTGTGGGGGTCACGGGAAGATGGAAATGAAGACAGGCCCAAAGGGATGCCTGCAAGGGCTAAACAGACGCTGGCAACCTGACTCCCCGGAGCAATTGGCTCCACACAAGGATAAAGAAAAACTTTAAACTAGTCCTGACATCAAAGCGCCACTTTTGACCACTCTAAATTCTCCATAATATTTTTGCTTCCAGGGGTAATTATAACTTTCTTGACAGAGGATGATGTTCCACTTCCACTTCCTCAGGGCTGGGATTAACCACGACAACGGAAAACACAAGAGGGTTCTGCCAAGAGCCGGGTGAACGAACAACTGCAAAGCCCCTGATACCGACAGCGCCCTCAAGGCTACATCACACTGGTCTGTTCTTACCGGTGCAGCTCCACCCTGCACACGTGAATACGGGGTGACTGACCTCCTGGAAGCTGGGCCTGGATTTAAGTTGCTGGCAGAGGGTCAGGGTAGCTGAGAGCCATGCATGTGTCATCAGAAGGAGAGAGCTAAGAGCTAGGCTTCGTGGTTCAGGCGGTCCTGCCTTCTAATTATCAACTTCCTGGGGCAAGTCTCTCAGCCTCCGTGCCTCGGTTTCCCCACATGTAGAATGGGGATAATAAGATACTGAGTTATAAGGGGAAATGTAGGTACAGCATTGAACACTGTGCCTGGCACATGGCAAGGACTCCATAAATCCTATTGATCTTCACTTTTACAATATCAAGTGCCTGGTATAGCGCGGACCCTCCATGAATGACTGAGGGTCTGCGCTATACCCTCACGGCCAAGGACAAGTTCATACACCGAGAGTGCACATGTGCCGAAGAGCTGCGACAGACCTGAAGTGAAGCCAAGGAAGTGGCCACTGCACAGGACTGACTGACTGGCCCACAGCGGGAAACTCAGAACCGGCCCTGGTTAATAAATCGGTCCGACACGGGGCCCCACAGTGGTTATCATTCTACTCTCTCTGCTGTATTCCTTTAAAATGTCCAGAAAGAAAACTTCTGTGGATGTCACAGAACTAGAACCAAAGGGATGAGGTAGTCAAGCAGACAGCTTAACAAACGATACGGCATCAAATCAATTAATCCAGTAAGCGTTTAAAAACCCAGCTTCTGTGGATGTCACAGAACTAGAACCAAAGGGATGAGCAGACAGCTTAACAAACAATACGGCATCAAATCAATCAATCCAGTAAGCGTTTAAAAACCCAGTGGCTGTGCAATGCCCTGGAGGGGTCAGAAGGAAGAGGTCCTCCCCTTGCCCTGAACTGGGGAGGGGGTCTGTGGATTAGATACAAACATCAGGGAGATGGCCCGGCCACTAACAGGTCTTTATTTCCAACTGGAGCTAGGTCCCTCTTCTTCCTAAAGTCAAGGGAAGACAGAAGCTTCTAAAAAGAAAAGGGAGCCCCGGCCGGCGTGGCTTGGTGGGCGAACGTCGACCTATGAACCACGAGGTCGCTGTTCGATTCCCACCCGGGTTGTGGGCTCGATTCCCAGCGTGGGCTGTGCAGGAGGCAACTGATCAATGATTCTCTCCTATCACTAATGTTTCTATCTCTCTCTCTCTCCCTTCCTCTCTGAAATCAATCCTTTCCTATATAATAAAAGGGTAATATGCAAATCGACCAAATGACCAGTTGCTATGATGTGCACTGACCACCAGGGGGCAGATGCTCAACACAGGAGCTGCCCCCTGCTGGGGGTCAGTGCACTCAGCCACAAGCTGGGCTGACAGCAAGCCCAGTGGCCAGCCTCCTCCAAGGGGGCCTAAGCTGTCAGCTGGACATCCCCCAAGGGCTCCCCAACTGCAAAAGGGTGCAGGCGGGGCTGAGGAACAACCCCCCCCCCACACACACACATACACAGCGCATGAATGTCATGCACCGGGCCTCTAGTAAAAATATATTTATAAATAAATAAATAAAAAGAAAAGGGAGTATCCCCAGCTTAATACAAAAAGCACAGACATTGGAGCCTGACATACTTAAGTTCCCATTTCGGATCTGCCACTGTGTTATGACTTTCAGGTAGGCCACGCCCCTCCCTGCGCCTGAGGGATGTGATTGGACAACACATGTTCCAGATGTTAAGTGGGAAACGCAGGCCAGGTACAGACTAGGCATGGTCCCTCCCGCTGCTGTTAGCGAGGCCGGTCGGGCCACAGGCCCGAGCACAGACCCCGTGGGGACGGTCAGCGATTTAACTGGGGCCTCGGGGCGTCAGGGCTCCCAGCGTTGGCAACA